CACCCGCCCGGCCCCTCTCCTCCTCCCAGACCCCAACAACTGCCCTCCTGGGGTCTAAGTCGTAACCTTCATGCCTGGGGTGCTCTGTTGTTAGGCTAATACGCTCAGACTGAGGCAGGGTGGGTCCTAACCTTATCTCTGAGAGAAAAAGCAAGCTCTCAAGGCAACCCTGACCCAGTGACCTGCTTGAGTGGGGCTTCTGAGGCTGCAAGCACGTGGCCTCTCTTTCCCCCAGGGATGGCCTAAAAAGCAGCCCCTCCATCACCAAGGGCACCATCTGCGGCCAGCTGGGCCGCCAAGCCCTCCAGGAAGGCGCCGTGATTTGGAGCAAATATACCCACTCCTTGCAGTGCTTAGGAGCTGCTAACCACAAGGTTCACAGTTCGAAACCGCTGGCCACTCTGCAGGAGAAAGATGGGCCTTCTGCCCCAGTAGAGTTAACTGCCCACAGGGGCAGTTAGGCCACTATGGGCCGGCATCAGCTGGAGGGCAATGCGTTTGGTTTTGGCCTATACCGACTCCTTGTGCACCCACCGTCCTACTAAGTGGCATTTGCAACGAGGGCAATGGTGAAAGAGTCTATCTACTGTGTTTCTCCACAGCAGGTCTGAAACCAGAGCAGTGCCGGCTCTGGTCAGAGGTGCGTCACCGCGGCGGGGCCCCCACTGACTACCTGCGCGGTGACAGTTATGTCACCTACAGGGTGAGACAGGACTCGGTGATGCTCCATTTTTGTACAATGCTGACTGTTACACAACCTCTTGGTCTTGGCACTCCACCCTGGTGTAAGTGGGGAGTGGGTGTTCTCACAGCTGACTCAACCCCACCTGCATCTTTGCACAAGCAGGGCCAAGGGGTGGCTTATGTCACAGACTCATGCCCGTCTGCCCTCAGTTCCCGCGGCAAGCTCCACTCTGAACAAGCACAGGGGGGCGCCCGCCTCAGCTGCACCACGTCATGCCCCAGGAGGACAGGGCGTCCGGTCGGCCCCAGCCCCCACTGGGGCAGCACAGGTGCCCCGGCCCTGCTCAGGCCTGAGTGTGCCCGGCACATTCTTGCGATTTCCCTTCCACTTACAATGAACAGTCATCGTTGATTCAACACCTGACTAAGCAAGACCCTTCTCTTGGAGGAAAAGCAGCTGTCGGACTTTGACTTACGGACAAGAATGTCCATTTAGACGAAACTAGTGAACACACGCACACGCACACGCACACGCACACACGCACACGCACCGGGCATGGCGGCGTCTGCTGTCGTGGTACCAGGGGTGCCGGCTGCGTTGTTTGGTGCCGGCTGGCTTGTTTCACAGGCCTTCCCTTGCTGCTGGCCAGCAGGGAGAAGCTGGTCACTCAGCGCTTCCATTTCCTTCCTCATCTGAGCCACGGCACTCCGCAAGCTCGCATTCTGCTCTTGCAGTCGCTGGACCTCACGCCATGCCGAGTCCCGGCTGACTGCTGCCTCTTCCCGGTGCTCTACGCAGGTCTGTCAAACAGAGAATTAAACTCTCCTGAAACAGCTCCCCGGCAGGTCAACTTGTGATTTCAGCAAAACGGATCACACTGAAACCTGGCTGACTCCACAGCGCCACCAGCCCCCACACGTTCCTTCTGGCGCCGTGGCTCTGACCCCGCCCATCTTCCCTTCATGTGCCTGTCGGTCAGTGCTTGGTCCACATGGAAACTCGAGGCGTGGGCTTCGAGGCGTGGGCTTCTCCTTCAGTCCTTCTCACTTGGGAAACGCCAAGCGCGGCCTCCCCCGTCGGTCCCGACCCAGGTCTTTGCGCAGCTCGTGACGTGACAGGGCTTTGCCTCGTCCTCTGGGTGCCCCTCGGAAGTTTCTGTTTGGCTCTTTCACCTCGTTCTCCCGGTCTTCCTTCCCTTCCTGTGCTGTTGCCCTTCCTGTGTGATGTCCTCCCACAGCCCCTCTGGTCTTCCATCCATCATCAGTGCTCCACAGGGCATCTCTCTGAACCCAGCGGGCAGAGACTCATGCTTGCTTGGCTCTGGTTCATCTCATGAGTCATTAAAACAGTGACATCAGTACCTGCTTTCCAAATGGCTTCAAAATGATCAGCCTAAGTGTCAGCAAGGATGCAGGGCATCTGTATCCTGGTGGGTGTACGGAACAGCAGCCCACTCTGGAAATCGGGTTGGCAGTATCTTGTCAAGATCAACACGTACTTGCCATTTGACCCAGAAGTCATGTTCTGAGGTGTTTACCCAAGAAAAGTAAGAGCTTCTATTTACACAAAACCTGTGTGTGCAAATGTGCATGGCCACTGCGGTCACACTCTCCCCAGACTGGAAGCAACCCAGGTGACCTTCAGCAGGTGGGCCGGCTGGTGCCCGTCCCTCTCTGGTACACGGCCAGCACCAAAGACCTGCGGACATGGACACAGAAGCAGCCAGCAGCACCCCAGCCACACTCCGGCTACACGCTGTACGACTCCCTTCCCATGAGCCTCTCGGGCGGGCAGAGCTGGAGAGGCAGAGGTCTCCGTGGTCCTGAGGTGGTCCGGGTGTGGGAGGGGCTGGCATTGTCATACGACGGATGAGGCGTGGGCCGCACCACTCCACGTCTGTCCACGCGCCTCCATCACACGCCACACACGGAGCCCCACTTGAGAATCAAATGTGAACACAGACAGGCCCTGCTCCAGCCAGGAGCAGCAGGAACGGGTGAGCCCACCCTGGGACAGGGACAGAAGGGGCAGCAAGTGCCTCACACAGCAGGGTGGCTCACACACAGGGAGAGGGCTGGAGGCCTGGCAAGCACCTGGCCATGTGGTGACCATGGTGGCTACGCAATGAGAGGGCCCAGTGCGAAGCCTCGGGTGCGGGGGAGGGACCGTGAGGAGGGGGCGTTACAGCGTCACAGGGTCTCCCCCACAAATACTCAGGATCATGAGTATTTCATAAGTAACTGCCTGCCCTTTGACCCGCTGTGATCACACAGATCAGTGCAGCCTCTCCTCCCCCATGGGCCCCTTGGCCCGCTCCAGGGTCTTATGCCCCCACCCCCCAGTCCTTGCTGCCTCCCCTGGGCGAGACCTCTGTAGGGGAGGCTGACACTCGGGTCAGGGTTCCAGCCTCTATGAGGCCCAGAGCTGCTCTCGGGCCCACCTCCCTGCCGCTGTGGCTGCCCTTCAGAGGGGGGCTCCCGGCCCGAGGCAGAGGGCAGGTCTGCCACTGTCCCACCCTCGTGGTCAGCCGGGCCACTCAGAGATGAGGGTCTTCTAGGGGACCCAGTGGTCAGAGGGCAGCTTGTGCGCCCCCTGGGGACAGCAGCTTCACCAGAGGGCCCTGTGGGAGCCGCCCTTTGCCCCAGACCAGGGGTCCTGCCACCCAGGCCTGCAGCCTCCACCAGCAGAGCCCGGAGGGGTCTGCCAAGTGAGGGATGATGGGGAGCCCCGGTGACCCCATGAGGTTGGTTTCCATGGGCAGGTGCACCCCATTAAACCCACACCAGACAGGCCTGGAACTGCTCCCCTCTCCCACTCTTCCCCCACTGCCCGCAGAGCGCCCCTGACCCTCTGACCCCATGATGGTGGCTCCCCCAGGCCCAGCCACCTTGAGACTGAGGAGCAGGGGATGGGGTGCCAGTTGGTGAGTCCCAGGGTACAGTCCCCATCAGTCCCACTGCCAAGCAAGAGCCACTGGGCTGAGTCTGCTGGGCTACCCTTGGGCGCCGTGCTGGGGGCAGGGGTTGGGGTGGCGGACAGCAGGCGCGGCGCTCTGACCTGTGTCTCCCTCTCGGGAAGGAGTCCGTGGGTCTTCAGGGCCTGCACCGCCTGGTCTCTCTCCAGGGCCATGGCTTTCAGCACCTCGTCTTTGTCACACAGCCTCTGCTCTGCCTCCTGGAGTCTGGCCGCAACCTGGGAGCAGGAGGGGGACACACAGCTTGGGTCTCTGTGGGGCCTGGGGGGCTAGCCGGGTGCCCAGTGGCAGTGCCCGCCCCACTCCAGGTGGGAACCTGCTGCACACCCAGAAAAAGCCCACTTGGCAAAGCTTAGGTTCCCCCCAGTTAATGCATCAGCACTTCCCGGAGGCTGGCTGCTCGGACCAGTCTGTGCGTGAGGCTCAGCTCTGGGAGAGTCCAGCCTGGGCGGGGGCCTGGGCAGCACGCAAGGACAGTGTGGGGCCTCGGGGGACTGCACACACCTGCTCTCTGGCGGCGGCCAGGCTCTGGACCAGGTCTTCAGATCGTCGGTACTGGTCTCGCTCCGCGTCCTCACAGCGGTGGCGCCAGTCCAGCTCCAGCTGCACCTTCTCACGTTCCAGACTCTGCTCCCGGCCCACCGCCACCGCCAGCTTCCGCTTGTACCTGGGGAGGGGGCGCCAGCTCCGCGCTGAGCCCCTGGGGCAGAGCCACTGGCTGTGCCCTGCCCACACTGTCAGGGGCCCCAGCCCAAGTCCCCTGGGGCATTGCGGTCCCTCTGCCCCTCCCTCACGGACCTAGCCCCGCAGGCTGCTGCCTTCCCAGGCATCAGGCAGTGGCCGCCTCTCTTCTCAGCCCTGCCTTCTGCTGCCCACTGCAAGTGGGACACACGCTGCCGCACCCTCTTCACCCACGGGTGCCTGCAGCACTAGACGGCGTCTGCCCGGGGCCGCCAACGGACAGTACCCATCAATGTCCTGCTGGAGCTGGGCCGCCTGGACTTTGAGCTTCGCACCCTCCTCGTGCAGAGCGTGGATCTGCAGGTCCCTGGAGACTGCTTCCTGGGACAGCTGAGCCACCTGGGCGTCCCAGCCGGACCTCAGGGCCAACGCTTCCTCACGAAGTCTGTGATGGCACGGGGTCTGGTCACTCACGTACATGCAGACACACACACACACACACACACACACACACACGAAGATACATGTGCACACACAGAACACGCTCACACACGCTTGTACACATACCCATACTGACGAGTGCTCACACATAGCACACACTCACATACACTAACTCACGCGTACCCTCACACATGCAGACACCAGGGCTCACACAGAACACGCTCACACACACACACTCCTCACACAGACACCCTCACACAAATCCACTCAGACTCATTCATGCACATGTTCCTGCAGCCACACACTCATACAGTGGGCACATTCACGCCCACATGGACACACTCACACACTCGCAGACATGTTCATCCTCACGCTCACACACAGTCACACTTTCAGACACTCACACACATGCTCCCAGTTATACACTCCCCCACACCCCACCCTCAGCGAGGCCTCCTAAACCCTGCCAGGCTTGCCCGTGCCCTCACCCTCACCCTCCTGGAATGTAGCTGGGGCCACGTTTGCTTACCGGGCGACAGTGGCGTTGTGGTCCCTGGCAGCGTCGGCCTGGACCCCCTCAGCCTGGCGCAGCTGGGTCTCCAGGCTCCTGCAGTGAGCCTGCAGCTCTTGCACCCTGGTCTCCAGCGCCCGCAGCTGCTCCGCGTGGGCCTCCTTCACTGCAGCCAGCACCCCGTCCCGCTCCCTGGCCAGGCGGTCCAGCCCGTCATGCCTGGAAGCACAGCGAGCCAGGGTTCCCAGGCTGCCACCTCCTGCCCCACGGGAGGCACAGGCATGGCAGAGGGCGCTGCCTCGCCTCGCTCGCAGGGCCAAGACACTTGTTGCAAGGATGCCTCATTCTACGTGGGGCCGCGCTGTGTGAGTGGCTAGAGGGGAGCCTGTCCCAGGCCGACCCGTCGGGGCACCAAGTGGCTCGGAGCTTGGGACAGAGATATCCCTCTGTGGGCATGGAGGAGCCTGGTGTTGGGATGGCCACGCACTGGGTTGCAGCCCAAACCACAGCTGCTCCACGGGTAAAAGACAGGGCTTTCTCCTCTTGCTGACAGTCCCAGTCCCAGATACCCACAGGGGCAAGGCTTCTATCCCCCTGTCCTACCAGGCCACCGTGAGTGGGCATAAGACATGCTAGAATCACTCACTTCCAGCCAGGGAGCCTGAGGATCACTGCACCCAGTGTGATCCCCACACCCACCAGGCCCCGGCCCCATGTGTCCTGGCTCTCTCCAGGTGGGAGATGGATAGTCTCAGCTTGCAGTGGGCATGCA